GCGCCCCGGCGCCAACTCGCCCCGAGTGCGGACTCCCCTCCTCCCTGCTGGCCTCGAGCGCTCCACGTCCTCGCGGTGCGCAAGGCTTGCATTTTCCCTTCCTGCTTCCACACCCGGGCGGTCGACATTCCCCTGTCTCTGCGCGCCCAGCGTGTCGAGCGGGTGTAGCCCCCCCCAGGGCTGCGGGGTAGGGCGAGGGGCAGCCGGAGCCGCCAGCGGCCCCAGCTCCCGGGGTTTGCGGAGTTGACCTGGGAGGAGTCCGCGGATCTGCTTGCTGGACGATATTTCCCCCCTTCTAATTAAGGCGTACTGTTGCACTTAGCAAAGATGTGGGTGAAATGCTAGTGGAGGGAAAAGTTATCCGGCCGAGTCAACTTAAAAGTCATGGCACCTCTTGGAAAATGACTTTTTAGGAGGATGTGCCTTGGATGAGGGATTCTTTTCAGCGGCGCTTTTCCATTGCCACTTGGCTCCTCTCAAAGTCTTGTCTGTGATCTGGAAGGGTTTGTGTGGTGTGTGCGCGCGCGCGCGTGTGTCTGTGTGCGTTTTGAAATGCTAAGTATATATATAATTTGATGAGAAGCTTCATAGCCTTAGGTTGAAGTTGTGAAAGTTTCCTTAGGCGTTTACAGTTCTGCTTTTACAGTTCTTAACAGTTATTTTATGAAGATTTTTCACAGAGGTCTGGAAAAAAGGTGGGAGACGGGAAATCAGAAACATTTCCTCCTAGATTCCAAGCAGTCGAACTCTGTTTGCTTTTCCGCTTCTTGATTTACAAAAGTGACTGTTAGACACCCCTGCTGAGGGTCTGCTAGAAGGATGATCTTCTGGAGCTCTGAGGTTAAATCTCTAGGCTGCAAACCTTCAAGCTGGTAGGTCAAGTCTACCAGTAGCTTCACAGGAAAAAATGAGCCAGTCTGCCCCTTTAGGGATTGCAGCCAGCCTTGGAAACCCAGTAGGACTACTTCCCTCTGTCCTGCAGGGTTGGAGTGAGTGGGAATCTTCCTGACAGCAGTGGTGGGTGGGGGTGAAGTGGTCCTAGAAATTTGTTTTATCTCAGGGTGGACTAAGAACAGCACAGTCTGGGGAGTCCTAACGGAAGTAGCCCAAGTTCGGGTTTTTATTTTTGAGAGAGTTCCCGATTCACAGAAGTGAACAAAAAAAGGTCTTTAAAAGACTTTAAATGTCTTAAAATAAATGTCTTAAAAAACTTTGTCTTCCTAATTTAGCAGAACCTAACTAGGTATTATGGCTGAGTTTGAACTTTGTGGGCTGTTTGTGGACTCCTGATGTAATCAGTTATACTGTACATTAAAAATGTACTAAAAGTTGCGGAGACAAATGAACTGCCACCTTAAACAAAACTAATTTGTGCCACAGTTCTAAATTGGGCTCAGCTGACACCCTAGGAGGCCTGAGTAGTATCTGGGGAGAAAAGTTTATGTTGATAAAAATGGCTGGGGCTTTTTTACAAATCTTAGTTTCCCACTTGTCCATATTTCAGTAATAATTACTTTGGAGAAAGCTATTGTATTTCATTCAGTTCTTCAGACCGTGGAAGGGGCCCTGCCATCATCCTGTCCTTCCCCTCTAAACCTGTACCTGTAAACTGCCAGCCAGTGGTTTCCCTCCAGTGAGTTTCTGAGGGTGTGAAACTTGGGGAGGAGACCGCAGAACAGCTGGTGGATTCAAACCATCTACTTTTGGATTGGCAGCCCAACAAGTAATGTAATAAATAGGGCACTGGGGCTCTTTACAGGTGTTTTATAAAATACCAAAATGCAGAAGGAAGAAATCACTTGGGTTCCTGAGTGAACGTTTTGGCATTTTTGCAAGAGAGAGAGAGAGAGAGAGAGAGTGTGTGTGTGAGTGTGTGTGTGTGTGTGTGTGTGTGTGTGTGTAGACCTAAAACGAAAACTAGCATCTGGCATTCTGAGTCACACTGAGAAATTATTGTGAGGTTTGTTTCTAAAGTCTGTTTTACCCTGAATATTTACACTGAAGCCTTTTAACACGCTGTTTTTCTCTGGTTCTTGTGAAGATGAATGAACTGAAAAATTATTTGCTGAGATATAATGGTGCTGAGACAATTTAAAGTTCTTTGGTGCAGATAATGAAAACCATCTGTTGTATTTATTTTGTGTCAGGAGTCACTGTACTTTTCAAGTCATGGCCAACATCCAGTGTTGCTAATGGAGCTAATCCTGAGCAGTCTTTGCTGATTTTAAAGACTTCCCCATCCTCTACCCCCCTTTTGCACCAAGTCTAGGCAATTAGAAGGAAAGTTGGAAATTTGCATTGCTTTAAATTTTTGGGTTTTGTTTTAGGCATTAGCCTATATACCATTTCCTCTAATTACATCTCTATGTATTGATACCTAGTTCTCTTAGCCAGTGGTGTTTTTCTCCATGGGAAGTCCACCGTCCACGCCCTGTTCACCTTTCCCCCCCAAGTTTTTTAATGTATAGCACTTTTTTAGGAGGCAGGAATTGCTAGAGCCCAGGTATTTCTTCTTGTTTGTAATTCAATAGAAGCAAGTTCAAAAACTTTTGCCAAAATATTTAGTTTAATTCACTCTTCGATTTTATCATTTTCACCCATATTTGTACTATCTGGATACTCTTAAGATGTTTATAAGCTAAACCATTGAGTCAGGTAGGTTATTTATTGTTGAACTTAATTTGTACATGTGAGCTAATTTAAATATGAGATCAAGGTAATTAAATCAAGGTAACCACTGCAAATTGTTGTGTACCCTGTTCACCATCAAGTTGGAACCCACTCATGGCTGACCCTCTAGCATGTCTTCAGAAGCAGTAGTTTTAATTAAATATTTAGTGAAAAAACAAACAAAACCACAAAAAACCTACATATGTGTATTTTATGGCTTATTTAAAAAGTGTGATGCATGTCTACAAGGTGAAAACACTAAAGCAACATTTGGAGTCATAAGCAGCTCAGCTCTCCAGAAGCTTCCATTGCTGCTTTGGAGTCACTCCTGAACCCTCACGGGTGACTGCCGAGCCCAATTTGAAATTCATCACACATTAGTTTGTGCTTTGGCATCTGGATTTTGTGTAACATTGTGAAATACATACTTTTGTGTAAGGTGATTTGTTCATTCTCATTGTCTTTTCAATTTTTAATAATTTTTTAATTTATAGTATTGATGGTTTTGCCTGCTTTGAGCATATTGATAGTTATAGCAAAGAGTAGTTTGTATCCTGAATTAAGTCCTCACCCCCTTTCCTTTTTTACTGAACAGAAGGCTCAGCTTGCCAATGAACAGATGGTCTAGCTTCAGATTACCTGTAGGGGTGACTCTAAAGTCATTGTAATTGATTGAAAAAGTTTTTAGTACACATAACAGATATTTTTTTTTTTTTTTAGCCAGTGGGTTTTTTTTTTTTTTCCTTGCTTTTGTAAAACACATGCTTGGTCCCCTCAGGGGATTCTGTTGCTCTGGCAAAGAAATGAATTCAGTGACATTGGTACTTAAGTTAATCTTCAACAGCAACAGCCAGCACTGGCAGATAGGTTTCAATTTGCATTCAAATTACGAATAATTTGAAAAGTTTCTTTAATCCCCTCACTTTGAGAGAGGCACGGCAAAACTGCCACAGATTTTCCTGTCCCCCGTTGATTTTTTTTTTTTTTGCCACAGATGTGTCTAGTAATGAGAACATTTTAGAACCCTTTCATTGATAATCACCTCAGAAAACAGCTATCAGAATCCTAATTGGTGGCCATCTTAATTCTTTAAGGCTGGGTTTAAAACAGTTTTAAATGAGCAAGTATGATGTGGAATTAGGAGTGAAAGAGGTTTTTTGGGAATATGGCTGAGTTGGGCAGTGGAAAGTAAAAAGACAAAGTGTTCTGCTCTGCAGTTCAGGCAGAGACAGAGGTCTGTATATATGCAGAACCCATAGAAGGTTAGGAAGTGAATGTTTTATTTATAGATAGGGTTAGCTGCTGCTTGGAATTTTTTCTAAAGAAGGGTAGTGGTCACCTGGGAGGGAATGAGTTCCTGTGTAGGTGAGTGGTGCTGTTTCCCCCCACAAATTGTTTACATCATCAACAATTTGGTTTCCATCTGACCTTTTGCATTCAGGGAGTGTGTGGTGGTTTCCTTATTCTGAGTGACTTTAGTTTAAAACAATTTCCAGGAGTGTACCTATAGAATAGCTAAAGTGGAAAGAGAGGCTTTGGAGTTCTGGTCTGAGCTGTATGCTTGTTTTACAAGTTCTTCAGGGCTTAGCCTCTGAATCCTCTGGTGAAATAGAAATGGCTCTGACTGTGCTGTTGACAGGCATTTAGCATTTGACTCTCTATTACAGTCATCCCCGTTTTTTTGTGTAGCCTCAGAATAACTTTTGGAAGCATCTCCTACTCCCTTCTGTGGTGTGGCCAGGCATAGACTTGCCCAACCAGATGTTTTTTCCTGGCGCTTTGGATCTTGAGAGAGGCTGTGGGATTTTTTGGATGCCTGTGTGGAGTAGCATCAGTGTGCAAATCTAACTGTTCTCTGGTGTAATTCTTTGTGCTCTTTTCTTCCTGACCTTTTGAGGGTTGTCTTTTTCAATCCTGTTTACCACTTCCATTAACAACCTTCCTGGAAACTCTTAAGACTGATGTTTCTAAAATTTGTATTCAAGACACTTGAAGCTTAAAAACTTAAAAACTCCGTAGCTTAAAAAAGAACTAACAATTGCTCCAGCTGGGGGAAACTCCTTCAGGCCCCCACCCCCACTGTCCTATAGGATTTCCAAGTCTGTAAATCTTTACCAAAGGAACTCAAGTAATGCAGTGTTTAATTGCTTGGCTGTTGTTGTTAGGTGCTGTTGTGTTTGAGCCAGTTCATAGCTGACTCTCCATTGGGTTTTCAGAGGCATTAAATTGT